ATATACATATATATATATATATATATATGAAACTGCAGCAGCATAGCATTGTCAGAGAGAAGGGGCATTTGAAAGACAACCAAGCTGCACTAGCTCGGGTATTTGAACTGGTGATTGCAATCCCGTCATTTCCAGTCCAAGGGGAACTAGCAGGAGAAACTGGGCTTCCTAACCCAAATGGAGATGGGCTGGAGAACTCTAGGATACCTGAATCATGAGACAAGCAGTTCGATGGACAGCCCTGTCGCTCGGTGAGCAACTGCAGTCTTTGGCAACCAAATGGCCCAGTTTGGTTAGGAATTCTGCTGTACTTCAGGGCCACCATGGACTTTCATACCCTGGCTGTATCATACCACTTCTCACACAACATGCTTGGCTATAGGGGAAGTGATTGCAGCAGGCTGCAGCGGAGAGCGCAGTCGAGGAGAAAGGATGCCAGAGGTCTTCTCTAGGCTTTGCTGCCAAGGACCAGCTAGAGCCCAGCCCTCCCATGGGCACATTTCTAGATGTTGGGCAAGTCATTTTTTGGGCAGCCTAACCAGTGAGACTGGTTGCAGCTACCTGCCGTGCTGAACCTTTTACATGCCTTCGGATGATGGAGATTTGGTGGCCCCTGTGGTTACTCACCCAGGAGCTGGTTGGCAGATGAGGTGGTGAGGTTGAACTGCTGCTCCAGGTACTTGCCCAGGAAGGCGGCGAAGCCGGCCACCACCGCGATCTCCATGCAGGCTGCCAGGATGATACAGGTGAAGACGGGATTGGAGAGCAAGTGCTTAGTTACTTTGGGGATCACTAGAAAAGAGAAAAAAGAGGTGTTTTTGTGTAGGCTCTACTCGAGGTGCTGGAGGTGCCCTGCCGCTCTCCTCCAGAACAAACTCACTTCAAATCAGGAGTAATCTTCTGTTTTGCACAGACAAGCTGGTTGAAATGTGGCAACACCACAACAAAGCGAAACACCGGAACAGCGTCATCTAAAAATGCAGATACCAGAAGGGTGCAAAAAGAAGTCACCTGTCGTTATGTTTACATCTTACAGATGATTTCGAAATTCTGAAGGATGTTTTCCAATATTGCATTTGTTTCCCCCCTAGGGAAGTCAATCAAAGCCTAGCATTTGCTTTCTCCTTCTCCTATCCCTACCTGCTCCCCATGAACAATGCTGAGCCAGCCGATGGGTTACATGAGTACTGTACTCCGCACCGCACAGACTCTTGCAAGCTTTCGGACACAAGCTAACCCAGCTCACACTTAGCCCTTCCTTCTCCTGCCATCCAGATTTCCTTCATTTTCTTATTCCCACGTAACACTGGCTCACTCGCTGAGGGACATCTTGCAGCACATGTGGGTGCAAGCTGAAATTCTCCTGCTTAGCCTGAGGCCACAGCCACTCATGGGCATAAGGGACCTCATGCCTGGGACAGGCACGTTAGCCTGCGTGTTCCCATAACCCAGAGCTTCACCAGCCAAGCAACGCCTTCCATGCAGACCCTACCAGCCTTGGTGGCTGCAAGGGTGGAAGAGGACTTGTTGAGCTATTCACTATGTAAGATGCCCACACACTTGCTTTAGTTTCATGATCCCCTGGCTCCTCCCACCCGAATCATTAGCGTCCAGAGTCGTCTTCTCCAAGTCTGTCTCTATTTCCGATAAGCAAACACGAATTACCTTACAAAGAGAAATCTGGCTAATGAATCAGATAGCACATTTTCTACTTCAGCGAACATTTTAATTATTGCCGAGATAACACAGCTTGAAGAGGAGAGCATCCCAGTACAGAAGAGAGCCTTGCTTTGTCTCAATACCTGATGACTAATTTATCCTTGAATTAAATGTGAAAATCATTAAGTTTGAAAATCACCTTGCTGAAGTGTAGTGAAGCCTCAATGGACCCCTATTTGCATTTTGAAAATCCATCCCCCACAACCCCTACGGTGTACCAGGGTCTGGCAGATGACAGATTTCTCTGGTGTTGGCTTCTGTTTTCCCTTAGGGCTTTTTTTGGTGCAAAATGTAATTGCACTGGCCTCAGCAACTGAATGCACAGCTCTTTGTCAAGGCTCTGCTTGGGTCCCTTTGGTTCTTTCCCGAGGGAAATGGGGGGGAGGGAAAGGGTTATAATTAGGTTCGATCTAGGCTTTTTGGAAGGGGCGACTCCACAGTTTTTGATCTCTTTATGTCACAAATGTTTTTTCCATGCTGTATAAAATTGCTCCTTCCTAAGGATTTTCTGAACATAATGAAGGTGCAGGAAGCATAATATTTTTTGTAGAATAGGGGTGGGGGAAGAGAAAAAAATACTGGGAGGTACAAATGATGGTGGGGGGATTCAGATGTGGATAGATCTCAGAAGTCACCTGCTGCCCCTTTCAGTTCGTTGGTGGCCACCTACAGAAATTCCCCTTCTTGCCAGAAAAAGGAGGGAAAATGAAAAGGTGGACTTGGCAGCGTTGAGCTTGAAAAACCATATTTAAAGTATTGATGCCTGTTGTGCTCTGGAGTTCAGTTTGTTCAAGATTAATGGATTCCTCAAGATGTAGCTTTGTGCCAATTCAAATGCAAAGACACAAAGGTCTACTTCTAACTTTATCCACCAAATAATAACAGTGACAGCCCGCCTTTTTGCAAGAGGGAGTTAAAGCTCATGGACATTTATTTCTGAAGTTGGCAAGGCTGGTACCCAACCATCATGCATTACCAAGGTCAAAATCCATCCTTTGTACTTGGGGATGGACAGCAAAATTTTTGCAGAGTTATTGCACCATCTCACACAAGAGAGGGGGCCCTCGTGACTGCCTTGCCTGGCAGTGTTGGGCTATGAGTCCCATCACTTCACCACTGCTTCTAGTCCCTGTGTGTCTGGGTGTGAGTTTTCTCGGACAGATCCTGTCCTCCACTGCATGTTTGACCACCGCCTACTGCAACAGGGCTCTGTACCAGCTGGAGGGTACAACACAAAACTCAGTGCAAAGAGTGCAGAGGCAACACAGGCAATGCCTGGCAGCCTCCACCATCTCCTCAGCCAGGGCTAGCTCACTAAGGGAAATGACAGGAGGCTCCATAGAAATGAACATCCTTTCATCTTGCTACTGCCACCCATTAAGATGAATCATTTGACACCTGCTGCTGCCTTATATGTCTCAGTTCTTGGGGTGAAATACCTCTGGGAACAAGATTAAAAGTCAGCAGTGAAGTTTAAAAATCTCTCAATAGACTAGAGTGATGTGCTTTCAGCTGCCTGGCATATGGTGCTGGGTATGAAGGGGGAATGGAAAATGTCTGATGGGGGACAGTAAAGCCCTGGGGAACACAACAGCTAAGCATGGCGCTTCTTCACCGGAGCTGATCCCAGCAAAAGTCATGATAAATGTCACCCCGCACCGTGTTGGCCCAAAGGTTAGCTAAACACTTTGTAGCAGCACTTTGGAGCTGTAAGTCTGAGGTTGAAACCCATTCGCCAAATGGGAAAAGGGAAAGGTCTTTTGGATTCAAGAGAGTCTCAAAAATCTACTTGGAGAACCCACAAGCTTTATCAGACATGGCACAGAAAGACTTACCCTCTCATGCTCAGAAGGACCAGCTCATTTAACATCCTTATCCCAATGCACCCAATACGCTACAGAAACAACGGCAGAAAAGCGATTCTCATTGCCATGGCAAGATACACTGAGAAGAACAAGAAACCTCAGCCTCTTTTCACTGCTGAAGTACTTAAAAATCCAACTCTTCAGACCATCCATGTGTTGGAAGAGACTCAGGAGGATGTCTCGAAGCTCTCCAACACCCCTGTCAATCCATTGACTTTCCAACCTTTTAACCCCCTAAGCAACACCAGTGCCAAGGCATCAAGCATCTGCCCTACCTCCTGCTGTGGGGCCAGCTGTGGGTGACCGGCCACGGGCTTGACAAGCAAACACACTTGTACACCAAGTAGCTTTGATTTGTCACTAAACATCAGGGAGTACCAGGGATAATTGGCAAACTCATTATGTGAGGTTTAACTACTCTCCAGAAACGACAAACTATAATCATCACGTTGGTGCTTGAAATGAATTGTTTGGAACATTACAATCACCAAGGCCCCTTTTTCCAGTTGGAGCACCCTACAGAGACATGTTTTCAATTTGCAGTAAAGATGAGGAACACAGAAAGCAAAGTAATAAATTAGAGGGAGGTTTACAGCCCAGTCCACTTAGGACAGTGCAGTGAGGGAAAGGCAAAATGTAGAGTTGAGCCAAAATACTGCTTTCTAATAGCATTGTAGGCAGCAAGCCTCAGATCTGAATAGAAAACAAAAGGCAAAATCTTCACCTGGCTTAAGGAATAAGGGATGAAGAAAACAGTGCAGGCAGCAAGTAGGAAATACCTCCTGGAAAGAGCCAGCCTACAAAAGAGAAGATGGAGTAAGGAAAGAGGTGCTGGAGATATCTCAGGCAAGTTTAATATGCCGAAGTCCACGTGGCTTTGGCAAAATTAATGTCACAAAGGACAGGAAGGCAAAGGATGACGCCTATGTCTGAGAGCCTTCTTGACAGATACAAGCTTGAAGCAATGGTAACGTTCTCAGGCATGGAAAGCAGGTCCTTCTGGTCTATCATCTTGCCTCCAGCAACCACCTTTGCTCAACTTCAGAGGGGGACATAAACCTCCCTTACCTGTGTCATGGAGGCCATGGCAAGGCACAGTATCTTTTCGGAGACAGACACACTTTACCTGACCTCAGCTGTGGCTCAGCTTCTGCCCTGAATTGTGCAGACTGAAGGCCTTTCTGAATTAATTAAAGCTTCTGATAACAGGGATGCTGGCTTTGAAAGAGCCAAGAAGAACCTGCCAAGAAAGCCTGCACCCTCATGAAATCCAAGCCAAAGGAAACAAGGAGACAGACAGGACCTGATGTGGGGCCTTTTATGACCACCTGCCATCCCCTTACCTAAGATTAGGATTTCTCAGCAAGCCTTTTAGATGTTGGTAGGGAGCCAAGACCTAAATCCAAAAAGGTCTTGGTACCCATCTAGATCTGGGCCAAAGACTCATGGCTCTGGATGTGAATGAAGGTACAGAGGGAGCCCTCTCCAAAAGGTTGTCACTACCACTCGTTAGAGTAATGAATTTAAAACTACTTGTGTTAGTCACTAATCCTGCTCAATCCTATGAACTTCCATGGAGGACTACAGGCTCTCCACGGCCCAGGACCCCTCTGCACAGTTGGGAGCTTCTGGTCCAGCACTATGCGTCTGCTCCCAGAGAGCAGTTTTGGGAAGAGAAATCCGGGATTCAGAGCAGCTCCCTCTCTAAGTATTCAGCAGATTGTTACACAGAGCAGGAAGGAACAGAACAGAAGACAAGACAGCTGTCAGCTGTACATCCCAGCTCTCCTATGCTCTTGGAAATGAAGCTGGACAGAAACCAAAATGTTTCCAAATCTAGGGAATTATCAGTTTTGAAATTCATTTAATTCCACAGTGAGTTTTCTTTTAATTCCTTGTGAATGAGCTTCTCTCTCCAAACCTGAAGGATTCCATATCAATTTCAATCCTTTTAGGTTTTTAACCTCTCTCGCTAGACAGACAGGCAGAATGTAATGAATTTCTGGTTTAAATCATTGCAAAACAAAATGCATTTAGAGCAGAATGCTTCAGGGGTGTTAAAGATAAAGCCAAGGAAGCATTTTGAAACCAAATTTTATAGAACTGACCGCTCAATTCAGTAGAAATGACCTTTCCTTATGGAAAAAGAAAAAGATTTTCACAAAATATTTCCAAGCACATCCTGGAGCAGGTGGTGGGTTAGAGGCAGCGTGTTAATACCAAGTGAAAGAGCAGATGCTGGACAGACATGAGCGGAGGGCACAGGTGCCCTGACACAGCTGAGCATCATCTCCGACACCAAATAGCAGAGAGGCTCCCAAGGCAGCCCAGAAGCAGGAAAGCAAAGCTGTGCCCCCAGGACAGCAAGGACTGCAGCAGCCCACGCTTGAAGTGCTTTCACAGACCATACGGAGAGCACAGGGCTGGAAAAGCCCTGCCAGGCTGCCAGCCGAGAGCAAAGAGCAGTGGCAGCATTTATCCATCCTCTCCCTGCTATTAATCCTTCACTTCCCTGTGCTCCCAAATGGATTTGCGTTGCTTAACCGAAATACTAATCAGGTAAAGCAGTGTAGCATTCATATGCCAGTTTAGCAATGGTAAGCACCTCCTAGGACTGTCCCAAAGCTTTCTTGCCTGAGCTGCCATGCCCCTGTGCAGAGATGCCATGGCAGCCACCTGCCGCCTCTGCTGCCTTTGATTGCCTCTTCACCTTGTGCTGTTCAAAGGCACAATTTTCGCTTCAAGTTCGAAGCTCCTCTTAAGGATGCTTCTTTTCCCGGCATGAAAATACCCCACAGGAAGAGATGCTGTGGCTTCCCAAAAGCTGGGCCCTCCCTCCTCTTTAGACCTTGATATAGATGTAAAAGACTTTTTCATACTTTAAGCAGGTTGCTTCTATATTAGTCCTAGCTTTTCTGTGTGCCAAGGCTAGAGAAAGCCAAGGAATCTCACCCAGCCCTGCATCTCACTGTCTTTCAGCATATCTTGTAGTGTCTTGAGCATCCTCCCACGTGCCAGCCATGCCATGTCGCTAGCTGACAGCCGTGACCCAGCTGGGAGCACGTCTCCAACTGACACCGCCTCGCTTCTTCTCCTGCCATGTCCACTCACTTGAGGCAGTCACTGAATGGCTTGAAAAAACCAAAATAAAACATAAAATAATCAAATTCCTTCAATAGCCAAAAAGAAGACTCAGTTCTGCCTCTACAGACACACTGTTGATATACAGTGTTTACACACAGTCCAGAGAAACAACTCTTCCTCTCCACACTGCACAAGAGATGGACAACCCACACCTCCATACAGATATGGACTTATGGCTGGCACACACCTGCCCAGGACTGAGCTGCAGAGACAACACTTGCTAAAAAGGGATCAGAGTTATGGCCACACAAACCCCAATGAGCATTTCCACCCCCAACCCCATCTGCAGGTACATCCTCTGCTGTTCAGCTTCACACATACACGTAAACTCCAAAGCCCATAATAGTACAGAAGACATGACAATGCATGCACACATATATTTTTAACCTCTGTATGTAACTATCAGTCCCTTTTATCCTAGGAAAAAGGCTAAACAGTGACTTTCCCCAAAGGAAACTTTGTACAATCAATAAACAGATTAAGGGTACTAGGTCCCACCACAAAGGAATGCATATATATGTTCCAGCTGCTGGCAAAATAATGTATATATACAGCAAGATACAACCCACCACCTTAAACATTGCTCATCAGGAACAAGAGAGGCACGTTTGCCTTCCCTTGCAGCACAAGTCTGAGCATCTCCTCCAGGCAGGCACTTTTGCAAACATGATTCTTGACCACATTTGGACTGTGACAATAGTAGCCAGGGACTTGAAAGGAGATGTCAGCTACCGACACCGTGTCATCTGTGACAGCTTCAAAGGCATAACTAAAAAGGTCATTCCCTGTCTTATTTGATGTGATGTAAATTGTACTTCAAAGTCCATCTACAAAGAGACTTCTGGAATACTGACTGATCTGAAATGGGGTTACCTGCAATGAGAAGGCTAATGTGGAAGACTGTGATGTCTCCTGATGTAATCAATACTCTGAAGCATATGGATGTGGCAGTTTAATTTCTCTACTTCCATGAGCAACAGATGCCATAGGAACCCCCGCCATTGGCCTCCCTGTGCGCAAGAAACTCAGCTTGCTCAGCACCATCATCGAGCAGAACTGCTGCCCCTCCATGCAGCAGGGACATACTGTATTCTTTCATTTTTCTGTATGAAAATGTGCAAAAATTTCCAGTGCCCATTCCAAAAACTCAGCGGCCAGAAGCAGATGCTCTGATGAGTCCACGACAAAAGCCACAGAATTATCCAGATGGGTGTACCATGGGAGAAACCCATTCCTCAAACTGGAGAAAATCCTTCCAACAGGGATGAAAGGATGAAGAAATTAATTTTACTGACAAATTTTCAAAAAATTTATCCCTTTACCTTTCTTTTGAATTTTCTCATCAAGTCAAAATTTCACATCTTTGACCTTCCCTTAATGAACAACCACATCAACTATTCAAGGCATTTTTATATTTAAGAAAACACTTATTCCCCCAAAGTCTCTTTTTTCTTCACACCCGCACCTCATTCAACTCCTAATTAAGGCAACTGCACAGGGAGTAAGTGATTTTGTTCTTGTTTATCTAAATGCATTAGGCAGTAATGAAACCTGCTCTGCCACAGTGACAGAGAGTGGGAAGCAACCACCAGTGCTACAGAACCACCCTCTCAGATGAAGGATTTTCCAGTGCAGCCTACAGAAGGGATATCTTCCCACACCCTCCCACAAAATGCTGGATCCTTAGCTGACCTTAATTACAGCCAGGTCCATTTCCATCACCACGACGTGGGGTTTTCTATTCTAATTTGCTACAAGCCATGCTCTGCCCCGCCACTTTGCTGCTATCCTGGGCTGGTATCTACCTCTTCCCCATCCCAGTTTAAGAGCTGTGGTGGTGTCCAGGACTCACTGCTTTGTATCTGGGATTGCACTAAGCTGTAGCTCAGGTGCTGGGAGCTCCCAGTTTCTTTTAACTGCCCTTGCTGGCTCGCTTTCTGTTTCGGGAGGCAGAGGGGAGCAGGACAGTAGACTGGAGAGAAGTTCACAAATTGCTCTGGCAACTGTGCTCCCCTTCATTTTTTATCAGCTCTACAGGACTATCATACATTTCTGAAACTTTGTAGTTTAAAAAAAACTCAAATCTTTCAAGTGGAACAAAGTCTTTCTTTAAAATGAGGACAATGCCAGAGATAATTAGAAGCTAAGGACTGGATACTGAGTTTTGGGGGGGATTTTTTTTGGGAGGATAGAGGCAGATAGCCCAAATCAGAGATCAATTATAAATCCAACCAGCTGTTAACCTGTTGCTGACTCTGACAGAGAACGTGACAAGAGCCAGTGTCTCACCTCGCAGCTGCTGTAAGCAGGTTGTGCTGCTCTCCCCGTCCAACGCGTGCCGCAGGACCCCATTGCTTGGCTTAGGTCTCTCGTAGTCCCTCTCGGGAAGCATGGCCTGCTCGCTCTCCCCGGCGTGCTCCGGACGTGGGGGCAAGGACTGCGGGAATCCGAACATCGGCAGGGACGAGAAGAAGAGTAAGGCACCACACAGCAGGAAGCCTCCCCACCATGCACCGATCCATCGAGGGTCGTCCGGGGTTATGTCCAGCTTACCTGCAAGGGCGCACACACACACGTGTCAGTGGCTTGGGTGTGGGGAGGGGAAGACGACAGTGCTAATGAACCTGTAGGCTGGAAGGTGGTTGCTGGGGGCATTGTTGGCTGCTGAGGGGCTCCCAGACACAAGGTGGGGACCGACAGTGTGTCTCATACCCATACCGTGTGAGCCACCAGTGCATAATGACCTCCACATCCAAGAGGTCCTTAGGACAAGCAACCCATCACCTTGTCTATCTAGATGGTCCATTCAACTTTGGCGACACTCTGTAATCAGAGCTTCTCTCCAGCATCTTCGGCTCTGTCAGCTCTAGGAAGCTGCCACATACCAGTCAGTGTCCCCTGTGCTCGCACCGAGGTTTTGGACATCACTGTCCCAGAAGGTCAAATATGCCCATGGAGCTGACATATCTACTGGCACAAAGACCTGCATGGAGAAGCAGCAGCACAAAGACATTGCATCTCCATCCCAGCTTACCCTTTTTTTCCAGGAGGTCAATGCTCTCCCTGCTTTGAATTCACAGCCCTTTTCAGCAAAGGAGAGATGGGCATTTGGGCTTCACGGGCACCTGTGACTGTGTGGAGGGTGAAACAGTCCTAAATATTGGAAAAGAAACCCACCCACTGCATCAAACGGGCTCAGAAAGGTAGTGAAATCATCAGAAAAATAAGAAAGGCAAAGTAAAAGGCAAGAATATCCTGTAGGCCATCACTCAGTGGAGATACGGAAAAAAAAGGCTCTGGAGTAAGTTTAGGGGAATAAAAATAAGTAGCAGAATAAAAGAAACTATGTTCCTAACAGTCGCCACGCTACCACAGCAGCTCCACAAGCCAGTGGAGGGTGCCCAGAGCTGGAGCTGAGTCCCGGGGGAGACTCTGGTTCGTGCAGCTGGAATAACAAGCTCTTCCATTCATAATGTCTGTCTGGTTACCGCCACTCTGAAAAATCTGTCTCAAGTGAGGCAATCAAGTTGTCTCTCAAGCATAGATGGAAGGAAACTCTTTTCTCCTTAGGGAAAAGAATACGTAGCTCTCAAATATATAAAAGTCTGAAAAACAGGGTTTTCGAGGGATTGGATTCTTCTGCTGTTACTTGCTCCTATCTGAAGTGCATTTTTTTCAGGTTTTGGGGAACACAGTCAAGTGAGGAGGCACATAAACCAAGGTCTTCTTCATATTCCCTTCCTAAAATAGGTCCTGTACAGAGGGCAGCGCAGCAGCATGCCCTGGCATCCCACATCTCCTGCCTGAAATGGGGAGCAGGACAGGGCTCAACCCTCTGGAGCTCGGTCTCCCCATGCCACCCTGAGCTGCAACGTGAAAACACAAAACCAGACAGAGGCCATGCATGCCCCAGCCTCTGCATGACAGCGACAGACCACGGCCAAAGCCAGCTGGACCTGCAGCTGGAAAGCACTATACCCTCTCTATAAGCTGCTGAGCCACAGCCCCTCCAGCCTTCTCAGCAATAATGCTCCACCATTCTCCTCCGTGGCTCTGTATTTGTTTGGGGCTTTTTGAGCTGTAAATACAGATCAATGTCTTATGTTAAAAATGGCCAGATCACATGAAATTAACTTTTTAGCTAGGCCAGCATCTTGCCTCTGATAGTAACCAGCTGCAGATGCCCAGAAAGTCCGCAACAATAAAGTCAATGTACACCTGATATTATTCTTGTGATTTGTGGCTCAGGGGCTTTCTAAGCTAGATTTGGTGTCATGTTAATTTTTTCTTCTATAAACTCATCTAGCTGTTTTTGAATCCATTTATAGACTTCTAACACCCTACGGTGAGGAGTTCCACAGCTTCACCTACTAGGAGAAAAAATCTTTTCTTCTGCACATTCATATTTTGGAGTAAATTATACTTAATGGTCAAATATGTAACAGGGTTCAAACAAGCTCCTCTGCCTACAGGACCAAGCAAGTCTTTGGCATATCTTTGCTAAAGCCAAGGAATGAAAAGGGGCCATGTGGTGTTTGACGAAGCCACAGCTAAAAGTCTCAGCCATCAAAAAAGATACTTCTTTCCTGCCCCTTCAGTATTATTTAGATTTCTTCAGCTGCCATGTGCATACAAGACCAAGAAAAGGCAGTAGCACTTTTCCAGATTTACACAATTCTGTTCTGAGTCCTGCAAGGTTCAACTCTATCCAAACGCATCCTGTGATGATGTATTTATAACATCATAGAACTGGAATGCATCCTCAAAGGGGACAACATCCCGGCGGCAGGATAAGAGCCCGTGGGATCAGATGGAGCTGAGAACTGTAGAAAAAGCATCTGAATAACTGAGGGAAAAGAATGAAGCATCAGGTTTGCAGTCTACAGCCGAAGAGCTTAAGAAGCAACAAACAGCCTGTTACACATTGCCCTCTAACGGCAAAGGGTACGTAGTGCAGGTAGCAATAGAAGCAGAATTTGCAGGTTTTTTCCTTAATGAACAAAAAGACAATTTGCAAACAATCTGCTTTAACTCAAATGCAGAGTCAAAGTGAGAAACAATTAGCAGTGCTTTGGGAAAAAGCAATAATGCTGTGGGACTGAATCTGTCCATCCAAATAGGCTTGTTCACTGAAGGTGGTGGGCATGGGTCTTACTGATGTGCCTCCATCAAAAAGCCTGGACGGTCCTCCCAGGTCCTGGGGATTGCAGCTCTCCAGATTTCATCCGGTGCTCTGGACACAGCTCCCCTGGCAAGGCTACATCCATGGCTAGCTGGTGTGCCCTGCCACAGTGATATTTAAGGTGTTCTCTAAGACCTGGGCAGAAACTCAACTCGTAGCAGAAAAGCCCATGGAAAGGAATAAATTTTAGTTACTATGAATCTGTTATCTATGGGGATAGAGTTGAAAACTTTTGAATCCAAGTCAAAAAACCTCTCTAAAAGTGACACCCATACATGCAAGAGGCACTCAAGATGGAACGAGAAGCAGTTTCCTGCTTGTGAGCATCAACATTTTTGTCCTAATGATACAACATAAGTGTATTTGATTTGAAACCAAACTCAGTTCCCCTTACTTGTGTCAATGAAGACAGCATCCACGTAGATTTTGGTACAGAAGGAGCCCAAGATAAATCCACAGGCTGGTCCAAATACCAGCATCGTAAACAGGATCCCTACAAGGAGAGAGAAAAGAGAAAATTAGTACTAAGCTCAAGTTATTCATTGCAAGTTGTTCTGCTTGTCTCCTGCAAGATGCTATTGCCCTGCTGATGCCAAATAGTAGCAATATGTCTCTATGTCAACTGTTTCAGGCAAAAGAGTACCCTAAATGCTTTTTGCTTTTCCATATCTCTTCAGGAAAAAGAACAGATGGAGCTGTGATAATGCTGAAGGATTTCTATTGAGCTGAGAAAACAGTGTGGACGTACACCGTGTTTTGGTCGGCTGGCTGCTCTAAAAGATGTCTTACTCAAAAGCACAAGGTAAAGCAGACCTGCCTTCTCCCCACGGGGAAGTCTTTACCTTTGCCACCTCCAGCTAAATTCCTGGTTGACAGGGATATTTACAGAATTTAGGGCCAGCAAATCTACAAAACGCAGCGTTGTCACAGACTGCTGGATAAAGTCCCTTTACAGAAGTAGGACCACTCCTCCAAATCTGTGAAGCCCTTCTCCCCACTATACTCACACAGCAAATACTCCCCAAGGCACATGGCTCTTCCAGCCTCTAAAAACTGCTCCCTCCTCCTGCAAAACCTGCATGAAATTGCCAGTGTAATGCCAGGCGAAGAGCTATTATGAGTAAATTTTGCTTCAATACAATATTTAGAAGCATTTATTCTCACTCTCATTTTGGCCCTGAAACAGGAATGCTACAGGCACACTGCCAATTCTCAATTGTCCAGGGCAGAAAGGCAGGGGGACACAAGGATAATCCAGAAAAAGAAGCGGCAAAGATAACACAAAACATTTGTAAATTAGACAATAGGAACATATTCGGTACCTTTACATTTGGGATAGAAAAACAACAAGTCCCCAAGGACCCTTGTAAATGGCTTTCTGAAGGAAGTAGGGTTAAGTCTGAGCAGCGCGGAGCAGAGCAAACACCTGTTTGTTGGCTTTGGGGCAGAGCATTGCTGATGGACCTGCGTACCCAGTGAGGGGGGCACCTCTTCGGGACCCTCGGCCAGCAATGTGCCAGCCTGTGCTGGCACCAGTTTTGGTGTTGTGGCACTTCAGAAATATCCCATGAAGGAGCTTATTCACATCTGGGTGCTCTGCTTACTCTCCTTCAGCAGCTGGGTACATCCCACACCTCTCTCCAAATCTCTCTGGGGGTGTTGCCTGGCATCTTGGTACATTCATAATGCACTTCATCGCAGCTATCTCAGCCCTCAAGTTCCTTAACTGGAAACTTTTAATTCCCAAGTTCTCTCTCTGTGCATTTCTCAGGAGTTGGAGAAATGATCAGAGCTGCAAAGTACTCCCAGGAGACCACCAGCCTTATGCCAGGCAATCCGCACCTGCCGATGACAGCTTAGCCAAGCAGGGTAAGCTAGTACAGTCAGAAATAACTTCACCTTCATTTTTAAAATGCAGAGCACAAACTAATTCCTCCAGGTTTGTGGCACTGTGACTTGGCTGGATTAATAACTAGGTACAAAGCAACAGCATCTCCAGCCAGCCACTCACGCAGAAACCCAGCGTGTTAATGCACGGCTATCGCCTACAGAAGCAAGAGAGTGAAACAAGGCTGGTGGGAGGGAAAAAAAAAGTGCCAGGTCATATGAGCTGCAGTAACACTGCTGCCAGGACAGAAGCTGCCGTCCCTTGCCCCCTTTCAGCTAAGCTGAAAGCTGCAGGAACGGCATTGCATCACAGCCCATGCTGCCAGCTTTAATTAGTCCCCAGGGTCTCTGTCCGTGATGTCCACGTCAGCAGTGGGACAAGCCATCTCCCCTCCTGCAGTCACCTTGCCCTGGGCACTGGGTTTGTACTGCACGATCCAGCAGTAAGTTGGGGAATTTGTGCTCCTCAATTAACAGAACTGCTTAGGAAGCCCATGCCTTGCTCCCCCTGGGATCTATAAAGCCTCACGCGGGAGATCCCAGTCCCTGGTTACCTGCAGAAGCACTTCGTGTTATGTGAAATGAAGGAAGAAACAGGTTGGGAGAGCAGGGAAAAGGGATTTCTTTCCCCAGCACCATCTCCTTCTTTCCCAGCCCCAAGGCTTGCCTCACTTGAGGCTATAAAATTTCCCGTGGCATTTTATAAAATATCCACATCGCATTTTTTCTGGTCACTAGATGGCATTAGTGTTTGTCATTCATCCCACAAATGCCATGTGGAGCAGGCTGGGCGAGGGTGCAGCCCACCCCAGCTCCCCAAACGCGATAGTGTTAGCAGGGGTCCTACAGCTCCAGGGGGATCGCACTGATGGTGGGGTGATGCCTTCACTCACGTATCTGCCATAAGCACAGTCAGCTTCTTTGGCTGTTTGCATGCAGGAAATCACAGATTTTAGAACAAAGTGTTCTAAAACTGTTAAGTTTTCAGTCAGAGTTTAAACAGACAGCATCTAACATAGACGGCCATGGCTATTACTCTGATGAACAAGCTGGCAAAGACCAGGTTAATCTTAATTATGAATTTCTATGTAATTATGGTCAAGAATGTAACGACCTCATATCGGTTGGAGCAGTGACAAACACAGCCTATGTTTTGGATATGGAGCCCTTGGATTTCAGCAG